CAGACACCTAAGAAAAAGCTGGATGCTGAGGACACCCATCACCCAGACCTAGTTTAGCCACGTTTCCGCCTTGCCCGTAACGAGTTGAAGGCATCTGTGCAAAGGTTCTCACTCCCCCTCCCCAGCTGTCAAAGGGGAGTAATTTTGACCTTATTAGATGAGGTTGTGAAGATTAGTCAGTATTAGCGAAATGCTCTGAAGATGAGCAGTACTGATTACATAAGGACTAAATAGAACCTGTTAGATTCTCCTTCTCAAGAGGCTACAGCACAGCAGCGCTAATTAGCAGAGTAAGCCCAGCAAGCCATCGTCACCACCACCACCTGCACCGCGCTCGTACCGCGCTGCACAGCCGCCTGCGACATCTGCACGGAGCAACAGCACAAATTCTTTAGCACCAAAGCTGTAAGATTGCACATTTCTTTTAAAGAAGGTGAAAACACAAAAATATGCACCATGACATAGGCTACCCTTCTCATTTCAGGCTGCTGCCCATCTTGCACTTCAAAGGAAACTGCTGCAAGCTGGGATAGACCCAGCTGGATATTTTATGCTCGCCCGTGCCAGAAACAAGGGTAACTGCAAAAGTTGTCCTTGATTGCTTGCAGGGTGCAAGTTTGGACATAGAAACTTCTCTGTTCAAAGAAACTAGAAAATGGAAAGCCTCAAGTCTTCACCATTGCCTCAGTGCTGGAAGAACTTCCTCAGCACAGTCCAGTTTCAGCCCACGCTCCTCTGCCCTTGGTTGAGGAACGACGTAAGGCCGCCCGGTCCAGATACCACAGTACAGCTACTGCAGACACAAGGGAGCAGTAAAAACACTTTTCCAGCTTTTTTCTTCTCCAGCGTGCATTCACCAATGCTTGACAGAAGCAGCGTTAGGCAGAAGACTCCACAGACCCAAAGCAGATTGCCTCAAAAGCCTTCCCTGTTGTGGAGTTCATCAGGCAGGGATAAACTTTGCTATGCATAGAAACAAGAACATGAAAAAGAAGGATCCCATATCCACTTTCTGCCTGCAGTCCATCCTCCACTTGCCAAGCTGCACCTGCTCCACCGCCTTCCTCGTCCTCAGCATTTCCATGCACGGGAGGCTGGGAGATGGGCAGCTCGGTCTCTTGGGCTCAGGATACTGAGAGGTTTCTCAGCATTCACGCAGCAAGACAAGGAGTTGGACGGGAGCGCAAGCAAGGCAGGAATCATTTCCAGAACAGCACATTTTAAATCCACGCAAGTCAACGTGAATTTAACTTGAGTTATGGTAGTCAAATTTTGCTCATTCCCTCAACAGGAAAAGGATCTTTGCACTTTCACCTTTGGCAATGATCATCCCTTAAGAATAAGGCTGGGCCCTATTAAGTGTATATCAGATTTTTTCTAGCTTGGGCCAGAGAACTTATTTCCTTCATGACTTACCTTTTAATCCGTGCAACATTTATCACAATCCCCCAGAAGCCTCCGAAGGATCAAGGCAGCTGCCAGATAAGGGTGTAGAAATTCATCAATTCCAGGCAAGCAGCAGTTTGCTAGATACCAATTTCTTGCTTCTGTACCTAACACAGGGCTTCCAAGATTGCCCACCAGCCCATTTTAGGGCTCTCACGTGAAGAACCTAACCCATACTTATACTTAAGTCAGTATAAGGAAGCACGAGGCTGCCCCAGCCTCTATTAGACTCCAACTGCTAGAAGGTGCCGTCCTGAGAAGCCAACTGCAATCTCTGTGCAGCAAAGGACAAGTAGTTCACTGATCACGCTTGACTACACATTTCATTAAAACTGCAAGACTATTGCACATGACTGGTCTTTTCATCTTATTAGCAGAGAAAGGCTTGGATGAGTGGAATAATTTACATTTCTTACTGGATGAGCCAGCAACAGGAAAAAGGAAACAACCTATGTTGATGAATTCAATTCTTCAGCTATTACAGAAAATGCAAGAGCAGCACATGCTCCTCAGCACCAAGTACATGAGGTCTTGGAAGTTCCCATTGCAAATCATCCAGAGCACCTGCACATGCCTTTAAGCCCGCCTGAAAAGCCTCACCCCTGGAAGGTCGGGCCTTGATTATCCCAGGACTATCAAGTTGGACATTTCCTCATCTGTCCCCTTTAAAGCCTTAGCAGCTGGCACACCTCAAGCACCAATGCAGCAGCTATTTCAGGCTTTAGATTGATCACCAGTACACATGCGGCCACTATTTTACAAAAAAATTGAGTAAATGTGGTTCTTGAGGTTTCTGGTATCCTACAACTTCTACCTTTTGATGTCGACCGTATGACATCATGTCCATGATGCGATGCCAAAGACTCTGGCCATGCAACAAGTCATCTACCACCTCATGATTAGGCAATGAAGGATACTACCAAACAGATGCATATTGCCCCAAGTTCCAGAGAAGATAATTTTCTGAATCCTCAGCAACTTTGTTATCAGCTAAACTACCCTCGTTCCAGTGTTGCAGGTTCTTGTGAAGGAAATCTACTGCACAGCCCCAGCTCAGTCTGGTTCTGAAATGAAAGCGTGTACTGGTTTTCCAGAACAAGCACTCTGGCTTTGCTGAATTTCAGTGATCTATTGTGTGTGGCCATCATCCAGCTACAGAAGCTGTATTCGGCACAAGGTATCAAAATTCCGGTAACAAACAAGCTTTCAGAAACTTTTGGAAATATCCCAAATGGAGGAAAAAAGGCAACTTTTTTGCCAAGAAGCTAGTTGATCTCATGGTGACCAAAGAAAATATTAAGTTTTTCTACATACACTGTTAATTGAGGGGTTTAGACAATCTTCTATATAGTATGAGGGAACCACTGTACAAGAAATGAAGAGATGAGACATGCTGAATTTGTATCTTTTAGCACAGACCAAAATGCACAAGCTAATCCTGGTTGCAAAAACATTGCAAGTTTCCCTTCCATTTTACTCCTGCCGGAAATCAAGTTTTCAAATGGACACAAAAATGCATGAGAAACACTTCATTTAATTAACTGTTCCCCAAATCAGCTTTGTTTGTTTTTGTTGTTGTTTGGGGGTTTGTTTCATTTTTAAATATAAAGTAGGTCAACTGCACATTTTTTTAAATATATAGTTGAAGTAGTTTGTTTCCAGACTTAAGAGATTAAGGCTTGTTAAGCCTCTAGTCCAAAAGCCGAGCAAAAACTTGCAACTGGTTAGGGGACGCTGCCAGAGCTGCACTGAGACCCTGACATTGCAAACAGCCAGGTGCCAGGAGACCGCTCACCTCTACCAGTGCTGTCCAGATGCAGAAGTACAGAAATGCATGATAAACAATCCACATCAATTTGTTCAGGACGTGTAATTTATTTTAAATGACATTTTTGTATTCTTAGCAAGTCTATGCTTGTGACCTGGATAAATCCACACTCCATCCTGAAAGCGTTTCTAGTTGCAAGTCCATGTGAACAGTTTGTAGCGCGGATGTATACCGGCCCATTACTTGGGACAGATCTGCGTACCCTTTATTCTGTAACTCTCAGTTACAGAGGAAGAATACAGTGTGGGTTGTCTGACTGAAAACCCAAGCCTTCCCTTCCAAATCAAAGGTGTCACTTGTGCCACCTTCCCATGAACGGGCACAAAGCGCAGCTGAGCTATTCAGCCAGCCTGGAGTTCTAGTAGCAAAAATGGTTCTGATTGCTCACAAACAACTTCCCAAGCAATAGTCAAACAATCCATTTGCTCCAAGGATCTCACACCTCCTCTTAAGGTCAGCAGGTGAACATTTTTCACTGCAAAAAGTTTTTATGGAGTAATCAACAAAAAATTATAAACAGAACATTTAAGGTTTGCAGCTATTTTATTTACAAGTATACATTTAACACAAAGAAACACTGATATCCAAGCCTAGTTAATAGTAGTGTAACAATATGCATCATTTTGATGATTATTCTACCCAACAAACTACACTGAAAAATTAATGCCAGTAAAATTCTTGGTCATAATATTAAGAAATACAATATATAAATTGAAAATATGATTGCTTAAAATTTGAAAATGGAAGTGAAGCCATTTGCACAGGAGTCAGAGTTTAACATAATCTGAAGGGAAAGGCTCCAAACCAACTGTTTATCTTTCAGGTTAACAGAAGAAAAAAAAATAAAAAAAAAAGAAGCATAGTTTATCCTTAAAGATAATGGGGCAGTTTTGCTTCTTCAGGTAGAATGTATTCCCAGTGTTTTCAGGTTTTGCAGTGGAATTACATTACTGAGCATGAAGACTTCCCTTGTGAAGCTGCCCCATCGATTTTTTCTGCCTCCAAAATTATCCTCTTAAAAACATCAACGGCAGTCTGCAAAGAGAGAGTACAAGATTAGTAGGTAAGAAGGAATCGCCCACTTACTAAAAAATAATAATAAAAAATGTTAGCAGTTTTACTGGCTATACTAACAGATAAATGCACGTCCAACGCTTATTCCAAAATCAAAGAGGGAAAAGATGGTAATTTCAGTTTTGAACACAACCTTTTGGAAGAAAAGTGTAACCCCCTTCTCCACAGCAATCCTCAACTATTTTCTCTATCACTGCAGGGAGGGCAAGTTTAAACTGAGCCATACTCACAACAGAGCTAATAACTGTAATTTGGCTTTATCTTAAATAGTAAGCTTGTGCTGAGTAACTGACAGCATTGAATATTTTGATGCTGTGCTGCTCCAGAGGATAAACCAATTCATTCCCTCTAAGTAATCTTTAAGATTCCAAGTAATTACAGAAGGCAGCAGATTTTTCAGCTCTGAACACTGCCTTTGCACAGCCCAGTATGAGGGTTACTTTAATATTCCTGATTTTCTCATCTTACCTATAGGTAAGACCAGTATTATACACGGTGCAGGAACGCGAGGGGAAAACACGAGCCAAACTAGCCTCTGTCTAATATTAAGCAGTATGCTTTGATAAAGTCCTGAGAGAAAGCGGTTTTATATTTTAAACAGCTTGAACTATAGGATAGCCATCGCTAACGTGGTCAGGCTCACACAAACATCCTAGCTTACTGTATGGAACATACAGGATTATAACAGAGTCTTCTGCAAAATCGCGAGCCACACGAGCACTACGGATCCCTTTGCTCCTTCAGAGGGAAGGCAGCAAGTACTCTGAGAGGAGGAGTCATTTCTTCTGCTATTGACTCCACTTGGTCTACACCGAGTCTCCTCCCTCCACACGGAGCATAAAGCAGTCTGGTGAAAAAGGCTCTCCCTTCCTCAAGCTGCAGGTGATGAAACAGCGCATGGGCTCAGAAGGGCGATGCTTCCCCAGGCACACACATACTAGTGAGTACCAGTTAAAGATCTTGGGATGGAAAGACACAATTTCCCATGAAAATAAGTTTAACTGAATCAGAGATACTAAGAAAGGATATCAGACCACTTGAGTGATTCAGGAGATTTTGCAGAAGAATTTGATTAAGTATAGCTTGGTTTCGGTGGGGACTTGTTTGTTTTTAAAGATAATGAAAGATGGGGAGAATAAGCTGCCTGGGACAACATCATGAATGCTACTTGTAAATATCTTACGTTATTAATCTGGTATTTTCAGGATTCACTCAGTTTTAAGGGTTTCAAAATTGTACACTAGCCTCCATCAGAACATGCAGAAACTACAACTGCAACATGCAACATCTGAGATTGCCTAGAAGTAATTTAAGAATAGATCTATCCTACAGTCAAGGACAATTCTAAAGTGCTTTTCTTCTCTATGGTATTTTCAAGCTGAAGATTCACCGTATGATCAGTACTTCAGCATGTGAATCTTTAACTTGGAAATGGTCTCCTGATCATCTCAGACGTACCACTTCAAGTTTATCTAACCTCTAGCCATCCGTTTCATGAATTCCAAGCATACGCTCCGTAAGAAGGAAAGTACATTCATTACATAAAAGCAGTCACATTATGAAAGAGGATAAAAAGGGGGTTTTGCTGGTTTTAATCAGCAGGCTGAAGAGCACCCTGTGATTTATGACTATGTGTTCTGACCTGACAGATGTTTTTCCGCCTCCACAAGGTATAATTCTTAATTGGATCACTTCCAAATTAATCCCATTGACTAAAGCAGCCCCACAACAATCTTAAAGCAATCTTAACAAGATTAGACTGAATTTTGAAGTTTCCCATATTTATACTGTTTGTGCACAGTACTACCTCTGGAACCATTTAAAATACTTTATCACTGGAAATAGAGTATTCCTCTGTATAATGAAGTTTCCCTGCAATCCCAACTGACTCTGACAGCAGTGGCTCATTAGTCCAGTACTATACAGCACATTTCCTGGGCAAATTAGTCTCTAGGAGAACCGTGGTCAAGACTGCAATTGCTATCAAACTGGTGCCACTAATGAAGACTTTCCCTTAATCAAAACTTGGTGATATACTGATTTATACATATACTGCACCAATGTTTCCTTACTTAGAGTTGACATTTTCAATAGTTCCATTTTAATGCACAAGTTCTTATGCCCCCGCTTCAAAGCGCCCATTAAAAAAACTCCACAATTTATTCTGTCAACCAAGAAGCTGTACATTCTCTGTCAAAAGCGTGCTGTTTGAAATAGTAAGATGTAGGAGTTCACAGGGCTTGTTAATTCATTTCACAGAAAATATGTATTCACTGAGAAGGTTTAATCACTGTCCTACAGTTAACGCTTAGGAATTTGTAATTCAGCCCAAATACGCAGAAGTATTTTAGAATGAGCTTTTAAACAATGCAGGAAGCTGTGTTTTTGTGACAAGGAATAAAGAACACAGCCAGACTTCATGCGCATCTGTCTCCATATGGTCCAATTATAGAATGTGGGTCGCACCTAGCCTACAGAAAGCCATCTGGCTTTCTTCTACCTTTCTCCCCTGAGGAAACAAAATCGATGTCAGCCTGGGCAACGCATGCTGCCTAGAGAGCTTAGCACCATGCAAGAGACACCAGAGGCTCAACTGCTTCTGCAGATGTGCCCCTTGGTGTGAGCAGGACAGACAGCGCAGGAGGTGCAATTCTCTCTGCACAAGCCGGGAGTCAGGAACACGATGCCAGGAAGGTGCAAATACACAAATCCAGCCCACAGTGTCCAGAGTCAGCTCGTCCTTTGGTATGCTATATTTTTCAAGCATGCAACTGTTTTGTTATTTCAAAGAGGAAACTCTTAGCTGCTCATACTACTAATTTATCTTGGCACAGAACTGGGCAAAGGAACTTAAACGATAGTCAGGTAAGGAAGAGAGGTTTTCTCCCCCCCATCCTTTGCTAGTCCAAACATATTCTCCCAGGTAAACATTTCAGACCTCTGGAGGGGAGGCTAAGATCCCAAACCTCTCTGAAGCAGGTACAGAGCACTGCATCGTCTGAGCTTGACAAGGAAGTTACTCTAGAAAAAGAAGCAATGCCCAAGCAATTGCCTTTTAAGAGAGCTCTGTTTTGGCGAGAACCAGATTTTTTGCTACTTCCTTGCCCCTTCTAAAACAAATTTATCTAATGAATTTTGCGTAACTGGATGAAAACAATTTGGCTGCTCGTTACTCCCTAAATTGTTCCAGTAAAAGTTGGCTCCCAGCTTCAACGGGGTTTAAGACCAGTTTGGATTCTGGTTCTATTTCAAACAGTTACCACTTTATTGTACTGGGATTAAGATGAAGTACTATACTATGGCTTAGGTGAAACAAAGTAGGGAATTCCACAGGAAAGGCTTGAAGCTCCTGAAGTTAGCCAAAGCAGTTCAACATACCTGGTAATAATTAAGCAGCTTGAGAAGATATGACAATAATAGCCCAGCAGTAATCTAAAAGAGGTCTCTTCCATTAAGTCTCAGAATTGCCTTCTCAAAGCCCAGGGATTTCCCTAGATGACTGATATGTTGCTGATAAGCAGGCTCCTCCAAAAGTCTTACCAGGTCACCCTTGTCTGGAGGAGCTGATACATAGCCCCAAATATATTTGACCTTGGGAACTCTTACCAGCTGCTACCATTTATCCTCACTGCAGCTTTGATCTTTGCCTCTCTCGCTTTCCATCTATTCAAAGTCACACTATTTCTAGAATGTGGTACCTTTTGGTAACTCCTGGCAGAATAGGACTAGTTTGCTGAAGTTAATCTATAGAACTATTTCAGTTGCCCAATATAGTAGGGCTATGCTCCTAGGACTCTCACAGATGCTCCAAAAAGGATTTTTTTTTTTTTTTTCCTGTGGCCAAAGCAGGAAGGAAGAATCAATGCTCTTCCACCCCCTTTTAGGGGTAAAGGAGCCTTTGCTGTGAGAACCTGTTACAGGGAATACCTTCTCTGGTTTCAGCAGTTCCTTGCAAACAGAGCTGTTATAAAGGATAAACCACATAGCTGATTGAGTTTGGTCTAACCCCTGTAGCAAGGAAACCTACTCTCCTTGCTGCTGTGAAGAACATCACGTACCAAACCAATTTCAGACCAGCATACTAGAAATTACCATACTTCAGCTCCACATCCACCAAATACAGATGGCTAGGTTTCAGAGAGAAAGGATTAACAGACTTCCCCCCCCCAGCCGGGAAGGTTTGAGCTCTCTGTTGAAGTTCTTAAGCTCTAAATTCCCAATCCAGTCCAGCTCATCCCTTTAAGCATCGAATTAGCTTTCTGTAAAGCAAACAGAATCTAAAGCAGTTTTGGAAGGAGTTTAGACTTAATCTTGATAGGCAAGTTACATTTGCTGTACCAAGCCAGTACAGGGGAAGATTTCGATGAACCTCCAAGAAAAAAGTGCTGACAGACTTCTTTTTCCAGTAACGTTGACTTATAAAAGGTGAACATTCAGTATCAGGAGAATGACAACATGCCTTGTTACTAAGTTCAAAATAAACCCTTTTTCTCTCCAAACCAGAGACAGTTTCAGAGTAAGAGAAGATACATAGACGTCTATCAAGACAGGGCATCAGCTGTTTTGATCCTGTCAAATTAAGATTTGGAGGGAAAAAACCACGAGTTCAGAAGTGTTCCTGGTCTAAGTCATAGGAAGGGATGCTACAACGCCTGGTGTCTCCTGTTCCCCCCAGCACCTCACAGCTCTAGACTCCACACTTTGCTCTCAAAGCTCAATCTTCCACCTCTTCAGAGGTGAGCATTCCTCCGCAACCGTTTGCAAAAAGGCTAAGGCAGCCGCCCCAGTTTTGGGCTCCTTCACACTTTCTTCCGTACACCCCAAGCCTCCCAAGGAAGCATGCCAGACAGCCTGAAAGACGGTCACATACTGTGGGCATCCATCTCAGAAGTGACATATGATCTCCCAAACTTCTGAAGCCAGACAAATTTACCAAGTGTATTATGTAAGAAACATGAAGGAGGAATTAGTGTTCAAGCACTTGTTTCTAACAACCTGCATCGGACTCCAGAGGGAAAGAATCTACAGCGACCTGCGATCACTATTCTGAAGGATCCTGCTGAGGAAGACCCGGTAAGAACAACTTTGACAGCAAAAATGAATACAACTTCTGATTTTTTGTGGGATTTGTACAGGACTGTACAGAATTTTGAATATTTGACATACAATTGCCATTCTGATTTCCCTGAAGGCTACAAAGTTTGCTATATAAATTTCAGCTGGCAGCATAACTTGATGCAGACAGTCTGAGACTAAGAAACAGACAGAAATATATGGCAGTCAATAGGCCTTTGTTAGTGCAGCAATTTAATATGCAAGACCTGCCAAGCATCATCTAAAGCCTGTAGCTTTTTTGCATAAATATACCCAATTTTTTTTTCTTGAACCAAGAATATAAACTTCAGAAAAGTTATCAGTAAGATATTCTGCTAGATATGAATTGCTACACTATTACACATTGCGAACATATGCCAAAAGAAAAAGAATACAGGCAATAGTTTTGCCGAATCCACAAGTATTAAGTTGTTTAAAATAAGGCAAGGGGGAAAAAAATCAGATGCTTTTAATGGGTTTATTCTTTACACTGTCAATTTAGTTTCCTTGGGCATGCATTTGAAGCTCTCCAGCATACAGAGAAGATACTGAGAAATTTCATGCTCTCATCATGCCCAATTTTGACAAGGGTAATGCAAGTCTTAGCCAGAAACAGTAGTACTGATCAACTAACTCCGTATTCCATACCTGGAGAAAAAAAAAAATCCAAGTTTTTCTTCCAGGGAAAATCCAACTTTACTCAAGTAACTTGTAGAATTGTTGACAACAGACATCGGACAAAAGCTATTTGTTTTGATTTTAGGAACAGGGGAGAGGGAAAGACAGGCTGCTTAAACAGGTCCTGTCCTAGCTATAGGATTGCCCTTTTGATTGTGCTGATGTTATCAAGGAGGCCAAGGATGTGATATGCTAGGTTAAATATGAGACAATGTAAGTGTTTCTTCTGCATAAGGACTCATTTGTTTAAAACTAGCCTGACAATGTCCTTTTGACCTTATCATATGTCTATATGTTCAAAAAGCAAAAGCTTTGACGCTGTTGAGACCTATAGAGAAAAAAAATAGAAAAGAAAAAAAAAAAAAAGAGAGAGGAAAAAAAGACACACCCCCACCCCCCCTAAATCTGCAGCAGTTATCCACTGCTTCAAGCCCAAACTAGGAGGCTCTTGTAGCTTAGATACAGAAGGTGTCAAAACAATGACAAAGTATTCTTAACAGCCACAGGAACAAATTCAAATACCAGAATGTATTTAGGAGGCATTTTAAAGAAAGTTAGTTAGAACAACCAAGAATAAGATGTTACTTAACATGTAATTAAACACTTCCATTCTGTGATAGGAAACCAACAAGTGTAAATGTGTGCGGGTTATATTGGGTCAGATTGTGCAACTTTACTGCAGCTGTATCACAGTAGTGTCTGACAGCCTCAGCTGTATTCTAACATTTTTCTGTTGGTTTTTGTTTTTTTCTTTTTTCATGGACTCACAAACGATTATTCCCCACATTAGAGATACCAAGCCTTGCCTAGCACCTTAAAACACGAGGTTCATCCCCATATACCAACTCACTCCTCTGCAACTGCAATGACCTCCTATTTAAGATAACTGCAGATCACAGACCCTGTTCCACCCACCACGCAGATTCGAGTTTTAGTTTGTCACTAACTGTTCTCCTATGTTCAGTGAAGCTTAACTTTCAGTTCTTCACTTCCATTTACAGTTGCATGGAAAAACTTGTATACATAAACCTGAATGCACAGTCATTTTGCTTCCAACCATCTACACAAAATATCTGTAGAGTACATGCAAATAGTTTAGCTTCCTTTTTTAAGTGAAACTATGAGTCATTCCATTACATTGCTATTTGAATAAAGTGAATCTTAAATCCGTTACCTGATTTTCTTTAGCAGAAGATTCCAAGAAAGCTGCATTCCAGGATTCTGCTAAAGCTTTCCCTTCTTCATAGCTGATCACCCTGACCAAAGGAAAAAAAAGTATGTTTCTTTATAACTTGCAAAAGAATTGGAATATGATACGTCAGGAAAGTCCTCAGGGTACTGAAGCACATAAATGCATGTAATAGGAATGTCTTGTGAAGTCTGATCCAGAGCATTTGCTTTTGGCTGCTGTCAAATAAGTGTATTTGTACTGGGCCAGGTAAAACTGCTATGTGACCCAGAAGAGCAATTGTCCCAAAGTATTGCTTTGTTTTTATAATCTGTAATATAATCTGGTATTTTACAGTTGTGAAAAATACACTTCTGTTACTTGTTTTGAGAAAGGGGGAGGGGGGGAAGTGTTAAATGACCGTCCCTGGAACCTTATAGCAAAAGTCAACATTACAACAAAAGTTCATGGCTCCTAGTTCACATTCTGGACACAATTCCTTCGCCAGTACCTTTTTTTAACCTACAATTTGATTTTAGTTACGGAAAGCCAAGAACAAAACTAGCGCATTGAAGCCAC